TGAGGCCTTATCAACTCGGATAGCCTCCAGCTTTGCTGTTAGCTTGTCCACCTTTTTTTTTAGCTCAGCTTTCTTTTTATGGGACACGTTAAAGCTTGATCTGACATTATCCAATGCCTCTAAGCTATTCTTGTGCTCCTTGATAAAGGTAGTCATATCTTTTTCAACCTTGAACATATGTCTCATGATAAGATAAGCATGATGGAGGGCCTGATTGTTGTTTTTCATAGGCTGAGGTGGAAATTTCTTTTAGACTACATGAAAAACACCTTAGATTTTAAAAAATAAAAATTAAAACAATAATAAGAAATCAAGCTAAGCTCATGAGATATTCACCAAGAAGAGAAACTGTGACCTTACAAAATCTACTAGCAATGTGAAATTAAAGATGGGGTCATCTGTTAGAGCATACTCAACCTCATAGATATTCTTTTTAACTAGGCCTTAGCATCCTAGCTTTAGGGTTCTCAGGAGCAAAGACAAGATCTTCACCAAAGTCTTTTGGTTGGAAGTGGTGGTGTAGACACCAATGTGAAGATAGGTCCTGATCTGTCTTAGCTTTTGACTTCGACTGGGAAGTATAGGGCATAAAGGTGCTGACCACCTTGTCTCCCCCATGAGACAGGGCCCTGAGTTGGATCTTTTTTTTTTTTGGACCTCAAAACATGTTGGTATAACAAGACATTGAAGTCATTGCTATCAGTTACCTCTGTAAAATCGAGTTAACAGTTAGATAAAAAATTAACTTAAAACAAAATCTTATGATGTTGCCTCAAACTTACCTTAATACTTTATCTTATTTATCATCTTCGAAGAGGTTCGCTCATGAGTATCGATGACGACTTCCCTTTTACATGTAAAATCCAAAATTCTATCTCAATCTAATAGATCAAGGATGGAAAGAGCCACCAGTATGTCCATAAAAGAGTCGAGTATATTCTTTATTTCTTATGCCTCAACCTTGAGCTCACCATCTTTATTTGCCTTTTATTTTTTAAGGCATAGAAAGAACAATTTTCAATTTTTTATTGAGCTCGGATAATCAATGAAAAGTTTTTTATTTAACCAAGCTACGATATAGAACCACCTGTTGTCACTAAGAATTTTTTAAAACAGAAAAACTTCTTAAATAGAAAGAGAGAAGAAAGAATATTTAGTTGTCAACAAATAATAATAAAAGTAACTATGTATCAAACAGAATTTTATGTGAGCTGATGAAATGAAAACCTCAAACCAGCCACTAATAAATCTCAATATAAGTAGAGTCGATGTGACTCTAGTCTATCAGTGACCCGATCTAAAGAGTTTAGCATTATTATATTATACTTTTTTTTTAAAAAAAATGGCACCCAAAGCTCGAGCATGATAAACTGAGCATATTTTAGAATAGTCTTCTGGATTTACTTTGCCCTTTAGATCATTTATCACATCTTTGGAGATCATATCGAGGTTACGTGAAGTATATATAGAGACCACGATGAGTTCGTCTAGCTTTACAAAATTTTCTTTCTCATCATCACTTTTTTTGATCGAAGTACTCCCTTCTTCTTGTTCCTCCTTTAAATCTTTTTTATTAGAAAAATTTGATTGTTGGGTGGAAGACAGATCCTAAGAAAAAGTAATGGATGAAAGTAGCTTAATCTCGAAGAAAGAATGACAAGGTAAAGATCCCTTAGGAGAGGATAAGATGTTTAAAAAAAATCGATTGAGAGAAGAGAGTAAAAATAACAGGAAGTGAAAAAAATCGAACCCCAAAAGGATAAATAACCGAAGAGGAAGAAAGGTCAGCCATAGAAGATGGATTAACCTGATAGATGAAAAAAGCAAGTAGATTTTGAAGTTCAACGTCGATCTGATTATATAGTTCTTATGTGTTCAAAACTTGCTCACTTCTTGCTCGAGCATTCTCTTTATTACACTGCTATATTTCTCAGACATTGAGTTAAACCAATTAGTCGTCTTGGCATAGTTACGACCTCTAATAATATGGAGATCAGGTCGTCATCCTGTTATTTTTGTTGACCTTTCATTGGCTCTACCCTATAACTCTCAGCTTCTCTAAAACCCACACTAAAGGACATGGTTAGAAATATGTACTGAAATGGGTGTAGAAAAAACTTTGAAGGCTGGAAAACTATTGAGATCATAAATTTTAGGTTAGATTGAGAGCAAAGAAAGCAAAAAGTGAAAAGTTGAAGCCTTACCAGTCTTTTATATAGATGCATTGTAGATCAAATGGATGACACGTTTCATACCATGTGTCAGAGCATGGGTGGGTAGACGTCTTTTCATCTTTTTGCTTTAAACTTTCCCCTCAAACCTTCTTTCTTTTTATTTAATACTGTTAAACTAGCCTAATCGGATGAACCTCAGATCGGACCAATTGAATCGAACAACTATCAAGGATAAACCAAGAGCTCGATTCACTTCTAGGGTCCAAAATAGAGGCTTAAATTTAATTTTTCAAAAAAAAAAAAATACAAATCTCACCATGGCCAGACGAACTCCAGCACTAATTTCAAATTACCTCAGACAATTATTATCCCGGTAACCTTTAAATTGATTATGCACTCAATCCAAAATCCATGCACAAGATCAATTAACCTTCAGGTCAGACTATTTCTTAAAACTAGTCGTCGTCCAAAATCGACCTCCTCTTGCAACATCGACCTTCGACAAACCATGCAGTCAATCCGTCCCACACCAAGGATGTTGGTAATAAATTTGGCAATCTGATGCTCAAATCGCTTGATAGGGAGACAGAGTGTTAGAGACATTTGATGGTCAAAAGGGTATAGTGATCTTTTTCCCTCTCAAAGCTTTCAGCAGACAACTAGGAGTATCTTTATCATTTGTACCAACCTAACATGATCAGTACCATCTCAACTCAATCTTGTCCTAATTGTTCCCTTATAATCTCTCTCAGTTTACATATAAATATGAAAACTCAAGCACAATGAAGCCCGGTTCATCCCACTTACTTCTTTCTCTCATTCCTACATTCCTATTTTCTTACTTTCTTTTCGATCTAATCTTTAATAAGTTACACGTCAGAGTGCAAACGCAAGGAATAACCCCTGCAT